CCACTGAGCTATCTGGCTGGCCCTTCTTCATACAATTTATAAATATCACATATACCTATAAAATGTATTATCTCCTTTAAAATAGGAATACTATAACTCTTTTTTATAAGTGCAAAATACCTATTTCATAGTTCACTATTAATATTCAATTGAACTGTTCAGTTTTTGGCTATTATAATAGAATTCATTATGTTTTCCTTTTGCATTATATCTGTCTATATCTGTATTATAATCTGTAGTTATAGGGAAAATAATCTCATTTAGTATTGTTATAACTTTGATCTTATTTTGTGATTTTCTTTTGTACTACTTCCTCTGTTTTCTATTTTCTTTTACATAAGCTGAATTTGTTCTGTGTATTTCTCTCCTGCTAATGATTTTTTTCAGTAGTTTCTTGTAATTATATTTACTATACTCAAACCTCTATTTTGTAGTTTATCAACTTTAAACTCTTAACTATTGATACCTGCTCTGAAAGATAGGGAAATAAACAGATTAGTGGTATTCTTATCTATTAAATCTTCTCTTTATTGGTTTCTGATTTTCACTACTGATTTTATTTTTATGCTGTTCAAAATACACAATACTTACATTTTTATGTAATTATTGTTTCCACCATGTTCAGCTTTATCTTTATAAATAAATGACTATATTATCATGCTAAGATTGATCATTGGCTTAGTTCATTTTTGATTCTATAATAAGTTACTAAAATCTGACCAATTTTTTAAGAGCAGAATATTTATTGAGGAAAAAAAGCTTCTGTATGAAAGAGGGGCAGAAGGGAACCTGAATGGGTTGCCAATTTATAAGACCCGAAAATTTTTTTTCTCACAGTTCTGAAGGCTGGAAGTCCAAAATCACTTTCCAACAAGCCCCATCTCTTAATACCACCATAATAGGGATTAAGTTTCAACAAATCAATTTTGCAGGACATCCAGAGCAGGGGAATCAGGTTAAATTTTTCATTTTGACTCAGTTCTTGGTTGGCTGCTTTTTATTATTAGTTTTTCAAGATGAGTTAACAAGTATAATATTTCATTCGTGTTTTTAAGTGTTTGCGAATATTGTTAGTTTGCCTTTATTCATGTTTCAAGCCAACTTGAATTCGCCTGAATTTTAGATGACTTTATTTTTCATTTCCAAGACACAGTCCTTACACTTACAGCATGCAATAATCTCTAATATTTTCTCTTTATTGTATTTAATTATAAATGACCTATTAAATTAATTTTGTGTTCTACAATATTTGAATTGTAAAGAAAAGAAAACCATACTAAACTATTTTGTTAGATGATATATATGTAGTGGCCTATGGTCACTGGTAACCTCAGTTCTATATAATTTTTCAAAATAATCGTCTTTCTAAATTTGCTCCATTCACTGCGCTAGGAGTTTGTTCCCTGTGTATTTTGACTTTGAAGGAGCAGAATACCCTATAAAAATATCAGCCCCCCCCCTCTTAGTGAAGTCTTCTAGAGGACTGGCTTCGTTTTCATGAGTTAGGGCATGTTTTGGCTCCTCTGGCTTTCAGACACATGGTAGGTTGGTCCTCCCTTAGGTCATCTCACCCCCAGGAAGTTTCTTTAGGATAAGGACTGCTAGGAAGACAGAGGGCTCCTAGCCCTGCGTCTCCCCGTTCTGCAGCTGAATCCTCACTAAGATTTGCCCACAATTCCAAGGCCCTATTCCTATCTATACATCCTCTCTTCCTAAGGAAAGTTTGCTATTTATGCCCCTTTGAACAACATCCCTAATATTTCAAGAAAAGATATACCCTGCTAGAGACATAAACATACATCCACTTGTGGTTTGTAATTTTGGGCTGAGTTTCAATTTCATTGAAAAGTGGGAAATTGCGGCCATTGTTTTCTTATCCAGCCTTCTCAGTTTTGCAGTTGTTTGCTTGGACTTCTAGGAAGAGAAAGAAAATAATCCTACTCAATCATTAGTCTAAACAGCCATTAAAGGCCCTTAATCTGACTAAGACAGAATGGAAGAATTTCTTAAATAATATTATTGTGGCAACCTAGGTACCTCACTAGGATGAGGAGGCATACCAAAAACTCTTAGAATGACGCAGATTAGCATAGTCCAGCAAACTTTTCTGCAGTGCTGGAATCTGATTTTAATAAATTCAAACATATTTTTAGAGCCATACACTGCTACTGACCACCGTATTGGACAGTACAGGTCTGGACAGTGTAAAATTCTGAACACTAGACTATGGCTAGTGAAGCAGAAATAAGAAAGCACATTCTAAACAGCATTAGATGGGGGGGAACAGTGTTTCCATAGAAAAAGAGAAACAGGTAATGTAAATAATTCAAAAGCAGTGTGCTCAGGACAATGGGGAAACCAGTATTATGGCTCCATAAATTTGAATGGTATCAAGATCATTTTTTAAAAATAGATTATTTTAAGAGTTTGTAAGAAGACATGCATGCTGAAATAACTAGAAACAATCAGAATTTTCATAGGAAATTGGGGAGGGGTGGTCAGAGGTGCAAAAACAAAATAATTTTTTTGACACTTGTGTTGTGAGACAATGTCTTGTGCTCCACACACTCCTCCTCAGAGAGTCCTTGTCCTCCCCCATGTGGAGGAACCCTGATGTACAGCATAATGATGATGGTTCAGAGAAATTACTGCCTTACCTACCGAGTGATTAATATGAAATTAGTGCCACATCCAGTGGTACAGAGAAGATCAGGGAGGAATTTGGTTTTGTTTTAGAAAGGGAAAAATACAAAATAAAGTGCTGCATTGCCTCCACGGAGGACTTTTCATCTGAGAATCTCTATGTACTCAGCATGCTTAATTAATAAGAAAACCTCTGAGAAACAGAAGGACAAAATAAGGGCCACACGTTCTAGTGATCTATTTTTATGATTTTAGAAAATCAAGCTTGGTATTTTCCTCTTCCTCTAATGCACAAGCAAAGCCCTATGCGGCCTCCATGAGCTATTCATCTTTCTGCTGACCGATTTCCCTCGAAGGCATCCCACTTAGGAAGGAAAGGAGCCACAGAATCCTACCCCCTAACTTTATTGATGTCTTTTGCTCTATTTGCAATGGAAATCCATCCCTATCATCACAGTGCAGCAAGCGTTCTCTGATAATCAAGTGTATACCATCCCTAGGAAGATTGTTTTCTTGCAGAATGGATCAGGTTATCTTTTTTAGTGAAAATTATTCAAAACAAACATCCATGAATCTAGGACTAACATGCATTGAAGGAGGACAGGCAAGGCCCTTAACGGGTGCCCTACTGTGTAATCTTCCTTTCATCTTAATTCAAAATCCCTTCGAGATTCAAGCTGCCTTATGTAAAAATACAAATTCTTCTAATTACTTGTATGTGAGGTACATGGTTTGGCCTCGTCAAAAAAGATACACAGTAATATTTCCTGGCATTTATTTTCATCTGTTGAGACTTAAAGATAGATGCTGGCTCTTTTTTAAAAATCCTGTGCCTTTTTATTGTTTGTTTTGTTGCTTTTTCTCTCCCCTGTTTGATTTCTTTTCTTGTCCTTTCTACTCGAAAATATGAAAAATAGAAACAAAAAAAAAGCTGTCCTACCAAAAGAAGAAATACATTGAAAACTCATGGCTTCTAAAGATTTTTACAAAGGGTTTGATGTTTTGTAAAATAAAACTAGCTGCCATGTCCAAAAACACCTGTTTTTCTTTGAAGAGGAAAGGTTGCTACACAGTTTCAAGTTTTGGTTTTTGTTTTGTAACTCATCCAGGCCCTCTCCCTTTCTCTCCAGGCACACACAGATCTTTCCCTTCCAGCCACAGCCTTTTCATCATGCCTGAGTTCCCCTCCTTTCTTGAACATCTTTCTCTAGCACTGAGTCAGCATCGCCTTATGCTTCCATGTTGCATCTCACAGCACCATTTGGCCCAGCAATGGATGGTTAAACTCTTAATTAGAGCCGACGACCTCCTCCCACCGAAGGTGTGCCATTGTCCCAACAGGATGTCACTGTGATCTTTCCAGTTTGGCACCAAATGGGAATTGAAGACAGCTGATCTAACACTTCATACATTAAATGTCAAATTCTCCAAATACTCATAGATTTGGAATCCACTTCCATATATTTTTCTGCTTCACTCTCTGTAATCTATCCAGTGGCCCTGATTAGAAGTAGCATTTTGTAATATCACTTAAGGCTTTGGACCGATAGAGTTCTGCCAGTAATGGTGTTTAATTTACTTATATGTGCCAATTGATCTCTGTCAGAAGCCTATTCATTTTTTCATTATTTTATTCCGTCCCTATCCTCTATATAATGAGACACAATGATCCACATTTGGGTAACCAAAAAACTTATAAATTACCCCTGATCCCATTACTTTTTAGTCACCAGGCTCTGCATTTCTTTTTCATATTTAAATCAATTTTTGCAAACTCTTAGCTTTAGAAGAATGTGCTGGAACTCCAGAACACTAAATAATGAAGTGATAGAAAAAGTATGAGATTATGACAGATCCTTTACCACACATCCCTGTCCCAAGAACGCCTTCCATCATATCCAGCCAGAGGTGCACTGTTACCACAAATACCTCATATTTACAGAGAAAGACTGTTATCAGCCCATTATTAGTAAGCACGAGATCAAAATATCTATGGCTTCACTATCCAAATATAAAGACCCCAGAATCAATAAAGATCAGAGATATAAAATTAATCCTCACATGCTGTTTTTTGTTTGTTTGTTTGTTTGTTTGTTTGTTTGTTTTGGTTTAGTTTGGTTCTTTTGGCGGAACCGGGAGTTGAACTCAGGTCCTTGCACTTGCCAGGCAAGTACTCATTCTACTGAGCCATCTCTCCAGCTCCTCATATGCTGTTGACATTACTACATGACAAGGTCTTGAGAAAGTAGGAAAGTGGCAGCTAAGTGACTAGCAAGAGTGAACAGACCCAGGTGAGTATTTCATCGCGTTAGCATATAAAACTCATGTTACTCTGCTACCTCTTCTACATTTTTCAGGATTGGAGCAAAACATCAAGAGCTAAGAGAAAAGCAAGCAAGAGGGCTTCTCGACTATGCAACTGGAACAATTGGATCAATGCATGATATGGATGATGATGAAGCAGACCCCAATTATGCCAGAGTGAACCACTTTCGGGAACCATGTGCATCAGCAAATGTCTTTAGATCTCCATCTCCTCCTCGGACTGCACCATTTGGTTACCCTAGGGATGGCCGTCCACTGTCTCCAGAGAGAGACCACTTAGAGGGTCTCTACGCCAAGGTCAACAAGTCATATCATCCGCCAGCTCCAGTTGACAGGTAATAAAACTTAGTGAAAGATGAATGTAGTTTTAATTCAGTAAATTTCAAATCATCTCTACTGCTGAAGCAGATAAAAATATATCCTTCAATCTATTAAAGCTGAAATGACATGGTGCCCTAGATAAGTGTGCTACTTTGACCTACCCGGAAGGTATGAGCCATCAAAAATAAAACAATAGCCAGTTATAAGGTGGCATGAATGAATAGTAGTGGTAGTGTTCATGTTGCAGTAGGGAGCAATTTTTGCAGGAAAATTGTGACAGAGAACGAATGGTGAGAACTGTGAGGGAATATTGTCCTTCCTCCTAGGAGCCCTATTACATAAGACTTGTTTAAGAAGATGGCATGACACTTAGAGGTGAGAGAAGTCAGGGAAGAGGAAATGATGACTTCTGAGCAGGTGTGATTGAAGTGGAATTATAGATAGCTCCAGAAGTACAGGGAAGTTTGTAAGGTAAGATTGAGGTTTGTTGCTTGAAAACAGTGTGACCTTATATTCGTAGATGATCAGTGGTAGAAAAGGAGATAATCCTGGCAATAGGAGTTTGATGAAATAGAGAAATATAGGAGTTGACAAGGCCACAGATCTTTAGGTTTAGCAACTAAAGAAAGATATAATGGGACCATCTGTCAATACAACTGAAGTAGGTAGGGAACAAGATCATTCCAACCCCACCTCCTGACAAAATGAAAGTGCCGGATGTCTTGAAAGAATGATCTAAAGAGTTGTGGTCACTATGCATTGTTAGGTGACCCTTGGAATTCATATGCAAGGGGGACTGACTAGTCTCACTATAATCTGACTGCAGTTTGAAGACTGGAGGGTGGAGTTGGCTTGTGTAAATTCTAGATGGGAAAAAAGACAAGTTTTCCAGATTTCTTAGGGATCTGAAAACCACCCTTTCCTATTAGTAACCAGCTTTGGTGTGATAGCATGATATATTGCATATGTTTACCGTTTACATTTCCCCAGCTGGGTGATATTATGCACTTTCAATTAGGTTGGGGAGAGGAAGGGAAATCATGGCATTTTTATGCAGACTGTAAAGTGTAGCTTCACAAGACTGATTACCTTTCAGAGCCTTTCCAATAACCAAGTGAGAAGGAAGGAGCAATTTTTAATCCTTACTGTCAAGCTTCCCAGTTGATGATATTAAAGAAAGATGGTCAAGTTTTTCTTTGGGACAAAATGAAAATATAAATTCCTATGACTGTGTGCTATAGCCATAATAACTAAACTGCTAATTCCAAGGATTGATTAGGACTTGGCTTTTTTCTCCCTAGCCTTTATATAAGGTTGGATTTTATCATGTAAATAATAGCACCACACATGAGTCTATTCTAGCATAAAGCATAGTTAATCTTCCTTTCCCTAAATCAGATAGGTCTTCATAGCAGCCCCTGTTGCATAGCTATGTCCCTAGAATCCAAACACAGAGGAACTTGGGCCCTCCCAAGGTAGTAGTTCCCAACATTAATTCCACAGAATAAAAGCAAAGCACTCTATGAAAAGTTCTCAAGTCAGGCATATATGAAGAATTTTGGACTAAACAACAGGACCAGTTGCTCTTATTATGTCTTTCTTATACCCAATATACTAATTTGCATTTAATATTTCTAAAAAAATCACACAATTCTTCACATGCCTAGTTTTTGTCTTTTAAAACTTGTTTTTCCTAACTGGGTCTTTAAAATTATTCTTTAAAACTCTATATAAGGTAAGCTGTTCTATGCTAATTTTCACAGGTAGATTTGAGAAAAAAAAAATTCCTAAAGATAACCTTAAGTCCAGGAACTATAAAATGACCATCAATAAAAAATAAGTTATATCTGTGTGAGTAGTGAGTTCTTACTTTTGGCATTGACACCGTATCTACCCCCTGCTGTGTTAATAAATGATCTAAAGCTGCTTTCAGTGGAGTTTTAGGCTGTTGTCATATTTTTGGACAGCTGATCAAAGACTGACTATAAGAATTATCTTAATTCTGCTCTTCAACTATTTTTAAAAGTCTGCTCTGTTCTTTGTTCTTAAAGTCTTAAAGCTGACAATTTTTGTCTTGGCACCTGGTAAGCATTTGATAGTTAGCTATTATAGTCATTAATATTATTACCATTAGGAACACCTTTATTAATAAAATTCTGTGTCCAATGTATTTAGGAAGAGTTCCTTTGGCATTACCCCAACAGTGACCAGGCAGTGGTAGTTCTAAACCTACTTTATTTACAATGAAAGGAACCATCATTTACCTATCCATTTGTTCAGTCTTTCACTCATGCAGTAAGCATTTATTTGGAACCTTATGTGTTCTTGTGACTTTTGAAAGTTCTGGGAATATAAGAAGATGGTCATGAGATGGTCTTAGTGTAAAGGAAGTCATATTCTAGTGGAAAGGGGAACACCACGTGTGAAAGAGGATTACTGCAGTATTAATAGAAGAAAGCAAGCTTTTCTTTCCTAACTCTTCACAGGCCAGTCAAGAAAGGCCTGAAAAAGAAGGTGATATTGGAAATGGCTCTGGAAAGATTAGTAAGCATTGATAAGATGTGGTGGGAAAATTGTGAGATGGGACAGCAGCATTGGGCTCCCAACTTAAATCATGGTTTTTGCAGAGACAAACAGAGTCCAGTTCTCTTCCTGATGACTACAGCATGGCATTAAATAATAATAATAATAATAATAATAATAATAATAATAATAAATAATTATAATAACCTTTCCAGGATTCCATCTCTCATCTCTGTGCAGGCAATTCAACAAGGGTCTGGACCACAGTTCAGTACTGAGTTCATCAGGGACCCAAGCCAGAGAGACGGGTACATTCTCCCCATTGTGAGCTGTGCAGTCTTTTGGAGGTTAGAGACTTACACATGCACTGAGAACACAGTGTGAAGGGCCCTTGTAGGCTTAGTACTAGCTAAGTGCTAGGACGAGCTGCTGGCTAACAGCAGGGCAGCATGGGTGACAGCTGAAGTGAGACAAAGCATGCTGTTCAGAGGAACCTGAAGCAGCTTTAATAAAACAAACCCAAGTGAGAGGGGTGACTGGGAAGAGAGATGAAATGGGAAGTCCCGGGAGCTGAACAGAAGACCCATGACAGAGCCTCAACCAGACACCAAGCTTGGAGACGGGTTTATCCCACCCAAGAGCATCAAGGCTTAATTGAAGTGTGGAAAGGACACTGAGGGTCTTAGACAAGGCCCAGCCCTGGAATCCCACACACTACTTGATGGCAGCTTGTCTTCACCTGCTGCTTTGTTTAAAGGAAGGCTGTAATGATGGCCTTGCACACTGTGATCATTAAATGAAATTTACCAGCTTGCTTTTGTTTTGGCCTGTGGCATCTTACATAGCACATACCCTCTCTGTCCACGTTGCTGTTTCTCACACAGGAATACTTCCTAGTTGTGTGTCTGCAGCAGCTTCCTTTTAGAGACAGCTCCTAGGTCTTACATCCTTGCTGCAGGAGAGTTGACCCTAATCCTCCCCCAGCCCTTCTAAGGCAGAAAACACGGTTTAGAAAGGATTCATGTGTAAATGATAGTAGTTAAAAAAACAAAAGATAGGGCCAGGGAGATGGCTCAGTAGAATAAGTGCTTCCCTGGCAAGCGCAAGGGTCGGAGTTCAATCCCCGGCTCCGCAAAAAAAAACAAAAAACAAAAGATAGAAACCCCAAATATTCCCTAACACCACCATGGCAGAGACACACAACTGGATTTTCACGGTGCTCCTGGGTTCAGTCCTTTTCCCTAGGCCTGACAGCTATAGAGGGTGATAATGTGGTGTTCTCTCTGGCCACTCCTGCATGAGGGGCTCCTGTGGTATCAGGACATAAAAGATGTGTGTTGGATAAGGACAGCATAGTCCCAAATGGGACTACAAGGTGTGCGTGTAACTTAATGCAATTGTGGTTTTCCATTAATTTTTGTGATGATTTGGCATTCTTTACTAGAAGTTACTAAATGTTTGGTCACACATCCCTTAAGGAAAAATCTTTCAGCTCTAGGCATTTAGTTCAGTGGGGAAGTGTCAGCCTGGCAAAGGTGAGATCCTAAGTTCAATTCCTGGTAACCCCCTTCCCCCAAAATGCTTAAAATATGTGTATTTATTTTTCAATAACATTTACTTGCCTCTATAATACTTATATTTTAAATATATATGAAATACAGAAATTAATAAAAGAATGAGAATTATAAAAATCACAACATAAGCAGAGCTTACAATAGTCCCCCCGTACCCACGGATAGGGTGCACACAGCTTGCTCTGGAGACTGCTGGCCTCAATACCAGGTTCCACGGGGCGGGCACCTCATCTGCTTTGGCTCACCATCATCACTTCCTAGCGAAGTTGGTTCCCCATAAGTATTTTTGGATCATATAAGGGAATGGTTTGATGAGTCTTAGATGTTTAATGGAACTTTCCATGGTGTGATCAAGCCTCACATGCCACTCATCAGAAGCAAATTCTGCACAAAATTCCCTGAGAGATGACACACAACCCCAGTATACTCCCAGTGACAAGAATTCAGGAGGTTCCTTTTCTATTCTGAGATCACTATAAATGATACAGAAATGCCCACTTTGTATCTGCTGAAATGCTATCTCTATGCAGGATTTACTGTGGACCCTGGAGCAACCCCATCCTGACACAGAAGGCAAAATTGCATCAACAGCCAGTGGCCCTCTGCCTGCATTTTTGAACAATTGTTTACCAGACTAACAAACATTGCCACTCTGTGTGCTCAGAGCTGGCCTTAACAAAGATGAAGAAAGAGTAGCTGTGTAGTCATTTCTTCAATATAATCTACCTCATGGTTTTAGTTCCTTATTTAGCACTCTTGGTAGCCATTTTCTGAGTGTAGATGCATCTATTGAGTTTCAGGCTAAGTTAAGCACACTATTCATAAGTGGATGCTGAAGTTCAAATATGGTCAGGAGTCAAGGATTTTTGTATCTAATCTTAATTTTTTATACTTATTAATGTCACCTAAGCTTTTAC